TTGATGACTTATGATAAGATCCATATTTTTTGGTTCGACTACATATATTGTGCATTTCAAACGTCATTATCTTTTTCGCAGTTATCGACTGACTGGCAACTGGCGTATAGTTTCTTTCTCGCCCTTACGCTGACTTATCGACTTGATATGGTTGATGTTTTTGTTCTCTCTTTTTTGACATGTAAATTACTTGTCTTCATTTATGGATATGTTTTTTCAGTGCACAACTGCCATTGACTGTTACTGTTTATTGCTAATTGTTTGTTTGTACACATGATATGGTTGCATTTGTATCTTCTAACTTTAAACACTATTCAATAAAAATTTATTGAAAGGAAAAAATGTTAAAACCCAGTGGTGATTAAATACCACCAAAAAAAGCTCTTTTGCGTCGAAAAAAAAAGAATCACGTTTCATTTGGGTACAGCGTTGCATGACTGGGCAATCACCAATTAAAGTAGTGCAGTGCTGCATAGCAAAAAATGGCCTCGTCAGGAAGAGGGTAAATCCTTGTGGAACTCAAGTAATTAAATAAAAGACATTTTTTGGCATGATCAGTCATTTTCTCAATATCAATATCACAATTCACAATTTCTGCCAAGGGTATGCAAACCTTTGGGCACAACTGTATTTCTATGAAACTGAAAGCTAAGTTGGTCCCTGTTCTTTCTTCTTCTGTTATCTGACTGATCTCTTAGCCTATCTTCTCAAATGTTATAGTTCATCAAGCCATGGATGTGTTGTACCTGTACTACTGCACTTGTTTTTGATACTCATCACTGGGATTTCTTACTTCTCTCTCCCCCTGGCATTTATACAGTAATAAAGGGATGCTGCCTGCTAACTAATTTGACTTGTATTTTGTAGTTATGATACACTCCGTAGTATGGTGCACATTTTTGCTACATGAAAACATGTCTTAAGGTCTTAATGCCTTCCCTTTTCTTTTGTATTTGCATTGAAAATCTAATAAAAATAACTGAACAAGAAAGCTAAGTTCAGCTTTAATGCCATTGTTTGTAAATTCCAGTGCACTATGTTAAAATGGAGTTTCAGGCATTTTTGTGTTTATTAAAAGTCAGCAACTACAAAAACTGTAGCTGCTGACTTTTAATAAACACACACTCACCTGTCCCAGGGTCCAGAGTTGTGCTTACCTGCACCGTTCTTTCTCTCCCTCTTCTCTCCCCTGTGTCAGCATCTCAACTGTGGGCACCAGGCTGTGACAGCTTGCAGCTTCACAGCTGGGTGCCCACTGTGCAAACGCAAGTCGCGTTGTTCATCCTAATTGGTCTGGCAGTCTTCTGGGGACCTGTAAAGTGTCCCAGAACACTGCAGGAGGAAGAAGGGGCCAAAATTCTGGCTCACTGAGCTGGAAGTGGGGGTGGGTACCTGTCAAAACCAGGTTTCTGCTCCCCCCTACCCCCAAAAAAGTGCCAAATATGACAGTGGAGGGGGGTAGGAGGCAAACAAGTGGAGCTTACACTTTTGGGTGGAACTCTACTTTAAGACCTATCTCCATGCAGAATTTGATCAGAAGACCTATATGTGAACTGTTTTACTTGCCAATATTTATCTAATTCTCTTCATTGACTCCCTCACCTCTGCCACGCAATGTAGCTACAATACAAACCCAGTAAGGAATGTGGGGGGCCTTGCAGCATCCTGTGTCCTCTATGTACTCCAGCTTGTTCACTAAAGTAAAAGGCATTAGTAAAGTTCTCCCTGTTTTCCGCTATAAAATGTCACCTTAACATTTATGCTTTTGTTAATCCAAATCCAATTGTCTAATATTAGATAATAGGAATTTGGGGAAGTTAATATAAACTGTATTATCATAATTTAAAAATACAGTTAATGCATTTTCACCACATACTAAACTAAAGGGTGCGTCTTTATTTGGCTCTTTTGCTTTTGCTTTGGAGCAGCACAAATAACCTAATTTCACTTGCCTAGAAACTCTGCCTGTTCATAAGCCATTTTAAATAGCCCCTTAGGGAGATCCATTAATGGATTCAAACAAGACAATGTTGAGTATATTCATTGCTGACAATGGCATAATAACTGTTACAAGTCATCAGAATTCCAATGCGGTGCAGCTCTGCTGTCACTCAAACATCAAATTCTGACTTCCCATTAAAGACTGTGTCACCGGGCCTGTTTGTCTCAGCATTATGTGAATACAAGGCATTGATAACACAACACAGAAAGGTCTATAGCAGCAAAGAAGGTTAAATACTCTTCTGAATGTTTATTTTTCTTGTACTCTGTTTGCATGGGTTCATATTATAATGTAGGACTATTATTTTACTGACAGAGGAGCAATATGAAGCAGCATACACAAGCCAGTATGCTGCAAGCTTGTGTATTGAAATATATTCCAGCACTGACTCACAAAGCATTTATTTGCTGCAGAGGGATTTTGGAGCAGGATGAGCAGGCAGGAGAGGAGCTGCCTTGTGTGGTGTATTGCTCGGGGCTGCCGATAAGTTACTGAACACATTCTATTGCTCCAGAGAAGCAGCAGGAGAACAGTAGTATAATGCCTGTACTTTACCAAGACAGCAGGAGGGGATGCCATTTTACAAGGACTCAAAGATGCATTGGTGAAGGAAACACTGAAAAGAAGGATATATGTGATTGCTAGAACATGATTATAAAATGAATATGCTACAGAGAAGATGGACGTTTAGCTCCTACGTAGTTTACATTATTCCATAGATTTTGAGAATAGTGACATTATTTGTAATTATGAATACAGAGTGCCTTTGTAAAAAAACAAGATATCCACATGTCTTTTCTGTCAGCACAACTGCAAAAGCAAGATGTTTAGTTCTCCCTTTAATATAGTTGATGCTCCCAAAAAATTATTCCTTTGTGCCTTTGCTGCCAGCTGTAAAACCAGAGGTGCTGGAACATAACAAAGATACAGCCTAACTCTACAAATTTGTTCATTCCTACTTTCCAGCTCTTTGTAAACCACAACTATTATGAGTTTCAACCCAGACATCTGTCGAGATTAGAATAACTACATCCTATAGATGCCAAGCAATGCAGTAGCTGCCTAGTCAGTATACTGTGTACATAACAGTTCAATTTAATGATGTATCTTGGATAAATTAATAGATGAAAAATTATATACGACTCCTTAAAAAAAAAGTTGTGTGGACCAGTCCCTACTAGGAATGAGTGGATTTGTGTTAGCACAAACTCTTACTGAATCCAACTAGACCTTAGAACATAAAATGACTGTTGGGAAGCCCAGTCTGGCATTGATCTTGACTCTCTGAATGTGGTCATTAAACCAATTTTCTATCATTTTATGTGTTGCATTTTCTAAACCAACAGACCATATTTTACACATTCAGTATCTATGAGAAACTGTCTTAAGTCCAAGAACACTACATCCACAGGCACACTACTCTGTCCAAGTTTCTAGTTACTGACTCATAAAATCTTGACAAAATCTGCCTTTCATAACACCATGCTGGCTATCATTTATGATGTTATTTTAAATAATATACTATTGTATGTGAGTCCTCAACAAACCTTCAAGTATCAATAGATATTAAATGTAGCTGGTTCTAATTTATCACATAAATAGTTACATCAAGTATGTTTCCTATAGTGCACATTTACTTGTTTTTATTATGTTGCAGAAAAATAATTATTATCTTTTATGAAATGTGCACTATTTTCCTTTCACTCTGTTAATGTGTCTGACATAATGTTTCATAGCACTGAATAAATTAAGCTACTCAGTCAATCTACATGAGAACTCTAATAATAGCGTTGCTGACTAATAATATATATATGAGACCTCAAGTTTTACATTCAAGAAATCATGATTTAGAGAAATGTTTAATAGGCATGCCACACCTATAATGTGTATATGTTGCCAAAACCAAATCTAGACTACAGTTTGCCACTTCAAGGAGACAGCAGTAGTCATCTTGCATTCTTCTAACTGATCTAAACTGGGGACGGTCACAGAGCTGACTGTGCAACATGCTGTAAAGGAAGTGTTCAGTGACATCAAGATGGTAATCCCATGTCACTGAATATGGTGTCGTAATGAACATATAGAGATATGGAAGTGATACCGACTTGCTATTAAATCTGGACATTTTTTTTATTTAGCGATGTAAAGGAGATAATGGGTCTGTTGCTGAGGATTCATTAAATCACATGCTCTTCTGGCACTTTGTTTAGCAAAAGAGTCCACATGTTCCAGTAAGAGTCCCTTAAACCTATGGTGGTGGTACACACTGGTGCTGGAAGGTTGTGGAAAAGAAAGAATTTCTTCACCATACTATTTATGATTTCTAGTACTATTGGGGCTCTATTTGTATTTTTCACACAATTTGTTTGGTTATATGAATCACTTTGAATATTATGGAAATATGATATATTATTTGTCACTTTATATAGCATGGCAATCTATATATATATATATATATATATATATATATATACACACCCCTCACATTTTTGTAAATATTTTGTTATATCTTTTCAGGTGGCAACACTGAAGAAAATGTAAAGTGACACTTTGTTACAAAATGTAAAATAGTGTCTAGTGTAAAGTGAGTTTTAAGTATAACAGTGTAAATCTTAACCCTCTTGGTCATGGAGTTCACCAGAGCTTCACAGGTTGCCACTGGAGTCCTCTTCCACTCCTCCATGATGGCATCATAGAGCTGGTGGATGTTAGAGACCTTGCGCTCCTCTACCTTCCGTTTGAGAATGCCCCACAGATGCTCAATAGGGTTTAGGTCTGGAGACATGCTTGGCCAGTCAGTCACCTTTACCCTCAGCTTCTTTAGCAAGACAGTGGTCATCTTGGAGGTGTGTTTGGGGTCTTTATGTTGGAATACTGCCCTGCGGCCCAGTCTCTGAAGGGAGAGGATCATGCTCTGCTTCAGTATGTCACAGTACATGCTGGCATTCATGGTTCCCTCAATGAACTGTAGCTCCCCAGTGCTGGCAGCACTCATGCAGCAGCCCCAGACCATGACACTCCCACCACCATGCTTGACTGTAGGCAAGACACACTTGTGTTTGTACTCCTCACCTGGTTGCCACCACGCACGCTTGACACCATCTGAACCAAATAAGTTTATCTTGGTCTCATCAGACCACAGGACATGGTTCCAGTAATCCACGTCCTTAGTCTGCTTGTCTTCAACAAACTGTTGCATCATCTTTAAAAGAGGCTTCCTTCTGAGATGACAGCCATGCAGACCAATTTGATGCAGTGTGCGGCGTATGGTCTGAGAACTGACAGGTTGACCCCCTACCCCTTCAACCTCTGCAGCAATGCTGGAAGCACTCATATGTCTATTTCCCAAAGACAACCTCTGGATATGACACTGAGCACGTGCACTCAACCTCTTTGGTCGACCATGGCAAGGCCCGTTCTGAGTAGAACCAAGTCCTGTTAAACCGCTGTATGGTATTGGCCACTGTGCTGCAGCGCAGTTTCAGGGTCTTGGAAATCTTCTTATAACCTAGGCCATCTTGATGTAGAGCAGCAATTATTTTTTTCAGATCCTCAGAGAGTTCTTTGCCATGAGGTGCCATGTTGAACTTCCAGTGACCAATATGAGAGAGTAACACCAAATTTAACACACCTGCTTCCCATTCACACCTGAGATCTTGTAACACTAATGAGTCACATGACACTGGGGAAGGAAAATGGCTAATTGGGCCCAATTTGGACATTTTCACTTAGGGGTGTACTCACTTTTGTTGCCAGCGGTTTAGATATTAATGGCTGTGTGTTGAGTTATTTTGAGGGGACAGCAAATTTACACTGTTATACAAGCTGTACACTCACTACTTTACATTGTAGCAAAGTGTCATTTCTTAAGTGTTGTTACATGAAAAGGTATAACACAATATTTACAAAAATGTGAGGGGTGTACTCACCTCTGTGAGATGCTGTATATATATATATATATATATATATATATAAAAAAAAAATATACACTGTTCAAAAAAATTATCCGGGGATATTGATCTGGTCAGTTAAGTAGCAGAGGGTGTTGTTAGTTTCAGCTGCTTTGGTGTTAATGAAATAACAACAGATGCACTAGATGGGCAACAATGATATGACCCCCAAAACAGTTTTACAAGTGGAGGCCACTGACATTGTTTTCCCTACTCATCCTTTCTGACTGTTTTTCACTAGTTTTGCATTTGGCTAGGGTCAGTGTCACTACTGGCAGCATGAGGCGATACTTGGACCTTACAGAGGTTGCACAGGAAGTCCAACTCCTCCAGAATGGCACATCAATATGGGCAGTTACTCTAGAAGAGCTGGACAGGGCTGTAGAAGTTCCTTAACTCATCAGCAAGACTAGTATCTGCTCTTGTGTGCATGGAGAAACTCGATTGGCATTTGCCATTGAACACCAGAATTGGCAGGTCCGTCACTGCTGCCCCGTGCTTTTCACAGATGAGGGCAGATTCAACCTGAGCACATGTGACAGACATCAAAGGGTCTGGAGAAGCCATGGAGAATGTTATGCTGCCTGTAACATCATTCAGCATGACCATTTGGTGGTGGGTCAGTGATGGCCTGGGGAGGCATATCCATGGAGGGACGCACAGACCTCTACAGGCTAGACAATGGCACCCTAACTGCTATTAGGTATCGGGATGAAATCCTTGGACCCACTGCCAGACCCTACACTGGTGCAGTGTAGTCCAGGATTCCTCCTGGTGCATGCCCAGCCTCATGTGGTGAGAGTATGCAGGCAGTTCCTGGAGGATGAAGGAATTTATACCATTGAATGGCCTCCATGCTTGTCTGACCTAAATCCAATTGAACACCTCTGGGATATCATGTTTCAGCCCATCCAATGCTGCCAGGTTGCACCTCAGACTGTCCAGAAGCTCCATGATGCCATGGTTCAGATCTGGGAGGAAACACCCCAGGACCCCATCCTTTTACAGGATAGTTAGAATGGGCGTGGGAGCAGGTTTAGGCTCAGATAGGTCTTAACTGGAATTACACTTTAATGTGGATGTCAAAATAAAGTCCTGATAATTCAAATGAATAGATACATTAACATGTTGATCAACAGCGACCAGATGGGTTTTATCCCAAGTAGAGCTACTGTCAGGAATGGACTCAGCACTGGTGGTGGGACTCACCTGCCGTGTGGGCTGCAGTACCAGGGCTGAACAGCGGGTGCTCTCAGCAGCCAGAAGCTCACTCCTGTAGTCAGCCAACACCTGGGCTGGTTGCAGGTGTATTTAAGGAATGACCAGGCCTGTGATCTGGGCCTTGGTGTATGTTTCCCATGAGCCCCTGTACCTGGTATCCTGTGTTCCTGCCTCGTTGCTGACCCTGCTTGATCCTGACCTCTGCTGACCGTCTCCTGTTGAACCCCTGGCTTGCCTGACCATCCTTCTGCCTGATCCTCGGTACCGCGCTGCCCGCTACCTGCTGAACCTGGCTTGTGACCCCGACCATTCTCTGCTTGCTCCTCCTGTACCACGCTGCCCGCACGATACCGACCCGGCCTGTCTGACTACGCTTACTTCACCCGACGATCCATCCATTCCACACGGATCACCTCTAGTAAGTCTGCCTGCCTCTTCCCATCAGACTCCGTTCCTGCACTCCCCTGCCAGTACTCGCTACCACAGCCGGACGCACTCAGGGGTCACGACCTGGTTCCAGTCTGCACCAAGTCCATCCCCACCATCAGGGGTCCTGGTGAATAGCAGGCTGGGACTTAGCTCCACCTCTCCAGCCCTGACTGCACTGGTACCTATTCGTTTAAGGTTTATTGCACCTGGTTGTACATTTTTATGTAAGTGTTGAGTTTGATTGTTTGCACTGCGTTTATGTTTGTGTTGTCTTTAATAAATTATATTGTGTTACACGCTATACCTGAAGTCTGTGTTTCCCTGTGTCGGTCCACACACCTCTGGTCATACTTGGAGCCCTGACAGCTACTTTTGTCAACAAAGGCAAACTGTTAACTAAATAAAGCACTCCCTCAACTACTCAGGTGCCATACAGTGATCTCCTTGGACACACACAAAGCATTTGATAGTGTGGAGTGGTCCTATATTTTTAAAATTCTCCATTTTTATGGGTTTCAACCTAACCTGATCAGTTCATTCAAGCTTCTCTACACTGATCCCCTGGCCAGAATCAGAGTTCACCATACATTCTCAGAACTCTTCATGATCATTTGAGGCATGAGACAGGGTTGTCCTCTGTAAGAATTGCTTTACATGTTGGCCATTGCCCTTGTCATGTTTGTCTGCATTTCCTCTAATATTGAAGGCCCAGCATACGTTACCTGGAACAACATATCTCACTGTATACTGATGATGCTCTTCTATGCCTAGAAGACTCAGATCATTACCTTTACATTGTCTTAGATATTTTCTAAAAATATGGGGCCTTTTAAATGTGAGAAGTCCACTCTCTATCACATAGACAAAGGCTCCTCTCAATTTATACAGTTAATTCTCTTAAATGTAGGTGACAGACCAATATAAATATCTAAGGGAAGTTGTGTAACTTCCTCTAAATAGCTATACAACCACCAACATACAGACTCATTTTGTAACCCTCCAGAAGAAAGTTAAACAAGTGATATAGCTCCCTCTGGACCTTAAGGGCAGGGTAAAATTGCTGAAATAATACTTCTTCAAAAACTCCTTTACTACTTGTCTGGTCCCACTTACCATCTTCCAAACACTTAATAGTATCTGTATTCTCTTATTGTATGTGTGTGTGGTGAAGTGGGCTGCATCGTATGTATGTGTGGTGGGGTAGGGGATTGTGTTGTATATACTGTATGTGAGGGTGGTGCAGGGGGCTGCATCGTGTGTGTGTGTGTGGGGCTCGGGGGCTGCATTGTATGTATGTAAGGGGCTCCTGTTGCATTATTTTCTCTTGTTATAACTCTGCAGTCTGATCATTGGGGAGAGGAGAAAAATTCTCAGCCTAGGTAAATCATTGAAGGACAGTTTTTAGATGGTACAGATGATACGGCACAGCTTATTTTAAAACATTTTTCTGTTGCTGTATATTGTGACATATCAGATTCTTACAGTCTTGTAAAGTTACAGTAAGTTCCACTTTCAGTTTTAGATACAATGGTCCTGGGATTAGGCACGCCAGTAGTGATGCTTGTTCCTTACCACCACATCGCAAACAGACTGATTAATCATATCATCTCTGGCAAAAAGAAAATACACTCTTAGAGTAAAACACTTTTATGTGTATATATTCAAGCAAAAGTTTTACAAAGCTCTTTTCCAAAGGTAATTGATAGCATTCCCAGGAGTCTGAATAACTGCTAAAGGAAATGGTATGTGAATATAAAAACAATCACTTTGAATTGTAAATTTAAAATACTGCCTACTCCCATAACTGATGAAGGCATTTCACAAAAATGTGATGGATATAGCACCATTAGTAAAACAGTTCCTCACCAGCACAGGCCCTGACGTTCCTGCAGATTTCATATTTCCAGCATAGCAGAAACTAATCCACAATCACAGACACATTTCATGACCAGTTATCATGACATTTAGACAAATACTTTCACATTTCTTCTGTTATATTGCTCCCAAAGGCTCCCGGCTATTGTATTATGCATTTGGTTTGACGATGCTGCTGCCTAAATGTGTTTCTACAAATTAAAGGAAAAAATCATCCAAGTCTAAGTGAGTATTCAGCAGTAAATGAAGTGTAAATACACTACAGGTTCCATCAATATAATTGTTTTCCTCATATTTGTCCTATCTCTGCTGTTGCCCCTGATTTATGTACTAGTCCCACTGTCCACTAATGTACAAATCACAAACAGATTTTTTTTTAACAAATAATGGAGATAATTTAATAAAGAATTTGTGACACTAAAAAGCCCTGAGTCTAATTCTTCAAAGCCTTGCGACAGTTTCTTTAAGACTTTTGACACATGCATTTAGGTAGAGCTTGTTAGCGCTACTTTCTGAATGTGTCACTATAACTGCCACAAATTTTATAAGAATTACTGCCAGTTCACAGTTAAGCAAACTGATGGTATTTAGGTATATATAAAGAGACTTAGCGAGCGCTTGAAAATAATGTAGCAGCTAAATGCACTGTAAAAGGAACCAATGACCTTCAAAATAGCATGAGTAATAATATAAATGCAGCGCTATGAAATCATAAAGTTAAATACACAACTGATGAATAAATACATAAAGTGCCCAGTGCATCTGAAATCCAAGGAATAATGAGTTAAATAAATAATTAATAAATACTCTGAAGTGGCTGGTGTGTGATTGCAATAAATAGTACAATGGTAAATAAGTAGTAAATGAATGTCCCAAAAAAATGTGCAAATAGTCATTAAAGGTGGAGTATCTTATCCTGAAGTAAGGATACAGTTTTCCAATATTCCATATAAAAGATGATTCGGTGAATTGCGGAAGGTGGTAAAAATGCACACTCACTAGATGCACATTTAAAATGCGCAGTATAAGCAATATGTTGAAATCTGCCAGAGGTCCCCTTTAAGGTGGGATGGATGTGGAGCCTGGTATGGATATCCCTCCTCTGG